CCATCCGCCTTCTAAAATATGCAACCTGGTGTCTAGTTAATATAATTTTAATTCACTTGAGAAGTTCTGTTCCTTAATGGCTCCTTAGTACTATCTCACCCCCAACAAAGCAACAGAAGACAATCTTTTACTTTCTCAAAAGTATTACCTACATTAAAAAACTAAAAAGCGGGACGCCTGGGTGGCTCAGTTGGTTGGACGACTGCCTTCGGCTCAGGTCATGATCCTGGAGTCCCAGGATCGAGTCCTGCATCGGGCTCCCAGCTCCACGGGGAGTCTGCTTCTCTCTCTGACCTTCTCCTCACTCATGCTCTCTCTCACTGTCTCTCTCTCAAATAAATAAATAAAATCTTTAAAAAAAAAAAAAACTAAAAAGCAAAAGACCCCATAAAATCAGGAATTTCTAGACATTAAAATTTCATAAGTAATCATCAATCCATTTGCACTCTCTGAGTTTTTTGAATTAGAACCACTCCCTCCCCCCAGTCAGTAGTCTCTGGTGACAGTTATTAATGCTGCCCATCATGTAATGGGAGGTGGCTCAGAGGTGATACTGGTGCAACAGGTGCAAGTTCAAGTATAGAGCAGGCCAACTTCTCAGAATAAGTGCTATCTGTCCACCTTTTCATTTTCAATATTTATTGCTTTTCTCGGATTATAAAAATAAATGTTCACTGTAGAAAAACTTGAAGCTTTCAAAAATATATAATGCAGGGGCGCCTGGGTGGCTCAGTGGGTAGCCTCTGCCTTTGGCTCAGGTCAGGATCCCAGCGTCCTGGGATCGAGTCCCGCCATGGGCTCTCTGCTCAGCAGGGAGTCTGCTTCCCTTCCTCTCTCTCTGCCTGTCTCTTTGCCTACCTGTGATCTCTGTCTGTCAAATAAATAAATAAAATCTCAAAATATATATATATATATATATATTGCAGAAAGTGAAAGCAATCCAAAATTCCAACCCTCAGAGTCAAGAGCTTCAACTGTTTCCTCTGACATTTATTTAAATTTCATTAACATTTATTCAAAACAAAATACAACTCTTGTGGTGGTCGTTTTTTTCAAACAGGATCATCACGGTAATGTTTAACCCAGAAACTTACTTTTCTTGCTTAAGATCTGTTCTACTAAAGAGATTGTATAGTATTCGTTGGTATGAATGATTCAGTCTAATGAAATTTCCACTAATGGAAGTATGTTTTTACAATTATTTCACTCTGGTGAACTTCTTGCTCACATATCCTAATACATAGGTGAAAGCATTTTTGTGTATGAAATCCTAGAAATGGACTTGCAGGGTCAAAGGGTGCATGTATTAACATTTTTATTAGGTTGTGCTTGAATCTTAAATCTTTAAAATTGCTATGCAGTTTGAAACAGTATCAGCCGGATTCTTTGTTGCAAAGCCTAAAACATCAGCCACTAATTCTAGTTTTAATTCCTTTTTCAGAAGTCTTTGGAGAGGACAGTTTCCTGTCACAGGCTGCCATGAGATCTCACATGTTTTCTGTTAGAGCTACAACTCTAAAGCACGTCAAAAATATTTGTTATTTTTGAGGAGTGAGCTTTTGGAATTTCTTTTCTTTCTTCTTTTTCTTTCCAGATAACATTAGCTTTAGGTATCTTTTTGGGAGTTTTTAGTAGGCTTAAGTAAAATAGGTAAATTAAGGTAATCTATTACTCATTCTTCCTCCTTTTATTCGCTGGACCAACTATCACATGTTGGTTCTCTTGGGACGACTTCCTAACACAAGTGCAAGAGGCCACTATCTGTCAATTTTCATCATACAGTTACTGTTTCTAGCAGTTTTCCATCTTTTGTCACATTAAACTTAAGTCACCAGGGGTGACCATCCTAAGCAATACTTCCACTTCAAGAGAACGAAGAAGACAGAGTTTCAAGACTAAGACTGGTCATTGTACCCTCCCGAGCCTTCTACTCTAAAGTGATTTTTTTTCCCCTCTGGACTCAGATTTTAAATCATCTGTGCTATCCATTAACTTGGCTATGAACTTCCTTTGTTCTTGAAAAGCCATTTCAGTGTTTATATAAATCAAATCACTAACTATATTCTCTCACCTAGATTACATGCTCCACAAGAGGAGGGATTTTGTTTGGTCTACTGATGTTTTCCCAGCATCCAGAACAGTACCTGGCCATAAAAGGTGCTTAGTACAGATTTGTGGAATGAAAGATGAATTCTTTGAAGCCAAAAATCTTGTATTTTGCATCTCCATAGTAAATGCCAACTTGCTGATTAAATTAAGGAAAGGATCTTCATTCAGGAATACAATTTAAGATTTTCTTAGAAGCAAAGTGTGGAGTATCCTTTGCCTAAATAATATTCAAGGTTCTTTCCAGTTCTAACTTACTATGAATCTAGCAGTTTTCAAAGAATTAGAATCCAATATAAGAAAATATATATACTACTAAAACTAGAGTGAAAATAATTGCATAAATCTTTGATTTAGAAAGCAGTGCAGTGATTTTTTTAAGCCTTCAGATCATTATAAAGATCAAATGTGAGAAACTATATTGACCATAAATTATATTCTGTAAGTGCCTTTCTAGGGAAAAAACAAAAAATCATGGTATCGAGTTGTTAATTGGGAATGCCTCTATAAGCATAAAAATATGTATCTACTGTTACTGTATAAGTAAGAAGGCAAAAAAAATATTTATGTATAACATCTATATTCTGGACTATACCAACAGTGGTATGACCCTAATGAGAGATATCTGCCTTCACATCCATGTGAAATGTGCAGTTACTTCAATTTAAAGCCAATAAAAATAAAAGCAGTGAAAAAGATTAAAAAAGAGAATCAGAGGAACAGAAAGATCCATCTAAATTTGGGGCCTATTTCAAATAATATACAACATTTTTGGAAATAAAGGAAGAAAGAGGGAGGAAAAATTTTAGAAAGTCACTTCAGAAAAAGTCCATCTTATAAAACTCATTTTAATTCTAGTGTTTTAGTACTTATTTATGTCAGACCACCTCTTCGTGGATGTTTGGTTTCCTGTGCTGAGCCTTAGAAAAATTGTCTTGTGGTCAGAAAATAGCATATTCTCAAGACAGTTGACTGAAAAGACTGTTTTTTTGGCTTACTATTTTTTACAACCAATTTTACTTTAAAAAGAGAGTGAATTAATCAGATTTGAGATGAACTTGCACTGGTTGAACTGTAGTGGATATATTCTGTCTGCTTAAAAAAGAAAATGAATCAGCTTGAAAAGGATTTTATATAGAAGCAATTGACACGAAGAATAGGGCCTCAAATGAAAGTCAGTTTTTGATCTGAGAGAGAAAGAAAGAAAGAAAAGAGAAGAAAGAAAATGAAAGAAAAAAAAAGAAAAGAAAAAAGAAGAAGAGAGAGAAAGCTGTAAGAATACTTGGGTGGGGGAGGGGCGTTTCATAAAACACAGTGGCTAGAAGAAGGTGTGTGCCCAAGTTAGACTACAGAGCAAAGTCTGAACATCAACAACAGAAGCATTCTTGGGGAAAACTAATGGCCAGGAACACTCTTATGGTTAATTTACTAAAATAAAAAGCTAAACAAGTATTTTTTTCGTTGAGGCTTAGGACATGATAGTACACATGACTGTACACTTGTAATAATGGACTTTCAAGAAAAAGAAATCCTCAAAAAAATTTTTCTTAAGAGACAAATTATGGAAAAAACTGTAAACATTAGAACATTTTAACTTAGGTGAGGTAGATGGAAATAGAAAACAAAGTACGAATATGGTAAGGTGTTACTGCTTTCAATCATTAATGTTAGAAAGTGAAAAACTGTAGGATCATACATCTTAAGACGAATGGAAAATGGTTCTAAAAATGTACAAAAAAAAAGAATTTCAGCGATTATGAAATTCCAATTAAATGTGTAAAAATCCCCCCGCCAAAATGTTCAATTAAATATCTAAGTTTGACAGGTTATCACTTTTATTATTGATATACTTGCAATATTTGTAAATATCAGGTTTAAAAATACATGTATTATTTTTAAAAGATGCTTTTGAAGCAATTAAAAAAGCATTCTTTGCCTACTTAAGGGCTCACGGGAAAACTGATGCCATATTCAATAGCTATACCAAAACAAATATATTCAAAATTCTAAATTTCATTTTATAGAAATACCATCTGTTAAAGTACAAGGTGCTTTATCTCAGAGACAGGCTTAACTAAGCTCAGCCAGGAATCAGAAAATGTGTTCCGAGTGGAGGCCCAGTTCAACCTGATCATTTCATGAGCACAATAAATCAACCAAAAAGCCCACCTTAAATAGCTAAAGTAGTCATAAAAATAGGCTGATGGTTACTTTACTCCAGCGATAACATAATCCTCGGTCTTATTGTTGTGGAGCAGATGTCATTATGGGTGGGGCTGACGCGCAGAGCAGCTGAAACATTTTTGTACCACCCCCCGCACACTTTCAATGGGATAGAAGGGGCTCCAAAAAGGTAAGGGAAAAGCTCTCAACGATCAATTCCTACTAGAGATAAAGAAGTTTTGATGTGGTCGTGGTACCGGAAAGACCACAATGAGATTTAAAAAATCCCCCATGATTAGCTCCTACCCTGGAAAAGAGATCTTCCCTTTCTCCCCTCCCCTGCCGGCTCCTCCTTGGGACACTTGGCTGAGTCTTTCTTTCTCTCCTTCCCACGCTGAGGTGAGGTTGCACGCCAGCCAGGGACGCCTGTTTTTCTCTTCGCGCGGAGGGAACTCTGCGGGTAGGAGCCCCGGGTGGCAAGAAGGGAGAGGGCGGCGATGTGGGAAGGCAAAGAAAGCTCGCCAGAGACGAGCCGGGCTGGGGTTGGGAAAAGACACGCGGGCCACCGAGGAGCCGGCCGAGGAGGCCCAGGTGACGAGGAAAATCTTCCCGGCTCGGAGCTAGGACCGGACGCTTCCGGCGGGCCACAGTCGCTCTCGGCCTAGCGCGGCTCGCGTTCCGCGCTCCACCTGGGCGGCAGGGTGTTAGAGAGAGTAAACCGCGCCTCGCACTTGCCTGGGACCGGGTGACCAATAACTGGTAATAGTCTTTGCTCGGCGCTGGGCCTTGTCCTACAATTTCGAACAGAGTCTCCGGCAGCCACGACGCCATCTTGGGACGCCACCGCCGTCGCTAAGACAACCAGGAAGGGGCGGGGCTTGATTGGGGTCATGGGGCCAAAGCCCTAGTTTAAATCGAACCCCGCTTTTGAGCTAGCTGGGGGTTTCTGCCTTGGGGTGGTCGACCTCTCTCCCAAGAGTCAGAGGGAACTCTGGTCCGTGAAATTTCAAACCTCAGGTCCCTGGTGACCCGAAAGGGAATTAGTTCCTGCTACCATGGAGGGGAGGGGGTGACCCCGGCGGAGGGATACCAAGCACAGCCCCACATTCTCCTTCCTGGTCCCTCGAAGGGATCGGGAGGAGATCTTCGGCCGCTGGGAGAGTCGCTCCGGGCGGTGGGGGAGGGAGGGGCGATGTGATGGGCCGCGAGTAGGCAGCGGGGCCTTTCCCGCGGACGAGCTCGTCAGCTTAATCCGACGGGCAAAATAGTTCCCGGAGGGTGTTGGAACGGGCGGGGAGGGAGGCGGCGCGGGCGGAGGCGCACGCCGGCCGCGGTGCTGCGGCTCAGCTGATAATTGAAGGGACCCGAGGAGCCGCCGCCGCCGCCGCCGCCGCGGGGGGGGGGGGGGGGGGAGCGAGTGGAAGTTACTGCCGCGCCACCGAGTCCGGACCGGAGACTTTGGGGCCCAACTAGGTAATTGGGGCTCAGTTCTGAGCGGCCGGGCCAGGCTTGGGGGAGGGGGTTGTGCCGAGGGGTTGGGGGGGCGGCAAGGGGGGTGGGGAGGAGCTGGAACAGAAAGTCCCAGGAAGCCCGGTTGTGTCATCGCCGCGATTCGGCCCCCGCTCGGCCTGCTCCCGGCGGCAGCGGCGGAGCCGCGGAAGGACCGGGCCGGGGGTTGACGGGCGAGGCGCTCGAGGGAGACCGGGGCCGGGCGGGAGCGGGGGGGTTCGCTGGGTCCCCCCCTCTGGCCCCCCGCGATGAGGAGGGCCCTTCATGGAACCGGGGTAAGGCGTGCGGGTCTTGGGGAGCCCGGTGGGGGCCGGGGGGGGCCGGAAGTGGGCTTTGGAGCTTGGAGGGCGTCTAGGAAGCGAGAAAGTGGGGGGCCGGAAGTGCAGGTGGGGGGTGTGAAGACGGCAAGGGTTCCCCGGAAATGGGACGGTGGGCCCGGAAACCGGGAGAGGGGAGGCTCCAGGACCGGGGACGGCCCGGAAATGGAAACTAGGGAGCAGCTCGAGTGACAACAGTTGTGGGAAGCGAGGGTCAGAGGAGGGAGAGGCCGGAGTGACTTTAGACCGCAGTAAGGGGTTTCCTGCCAAGGGGGGAGGGTTGTGGGCGGGCGAGGCCGGAGACAGGGGTCTGCGCTGGGCAGTTTCTTTAGCCGTGGGAAGTTGAGATTGAGGATGACGAAGAGACGGGCGTGCAGGGGGGCTGGAAAAGAGGCCGAGAAACTTGACTGAGAGGAGCAGAGCATGCTTCTGAATAGATCAGAGTGGAAATCGGGGGTGGGGGTCCAGGACTTGGGAGGGAGGTGGACCAGTTGTCACTCCAATCGTATTAGCATTCAAAGCGAGTCAGGCGATTAATTTATTTATATGTGGATTACATAAAACCTATTATATCGTTTGTCCATTCAGTTCACCCTTTCCTCCATCCTCCTCCATGGTGAGTGGGTTTCTAGTTCAGAAACAAGTTAAGGGGAGTTCAAATAACGAAGCCTGGAAAAATCCCAAATCCTGTCCTTCGTGGCGTTTCCTTCCTTAGAGTAACAGGAATCCTTAATTTGCTACAGGGAAAAGAACTAATAAAGATTTTAAAACACATGCAAATCGGGAGGAAATAACACATTTGAACTGCTGGAGGGACCTTGTGTGGTAAGGAGGAACGGAAGGGGCTGCTCCTAAACCCTTAAGACACGTTCGTCTTTGATAACGCCGTTTTACTTTGGGGACGTTTAGCTTAAGCGTCGTGTCTGGCGGTGGGTAGAGTTTAATTGCTTCGTTAGTTAATTGAAGTAGGGACTGTGTCAGTGAGTAAACGTTCGTGTGTGAGGGGTTCAGGGGTATGTTTCTTAGTGCAGTGAATGTGTTGTGAGTGGACGTCTAACTGCTCCCCTGCTGTCTTCCTTTCCTAGTCGGCCTTTCCCGGATCTTGCCTGGGCTGCCAGATCACCCGATCCCCGGGCTTTACTCCGTTTTGTAGGCCCTTTAGTGCTGTGTTCAACTTTCTTTTCCTCTCCCGTTTCTCTGTAGATATTTCTGGCATTTCATTTTTTAAAGACCCAGAAAGTTGAGGCTGAGGATCTCCTCTCTAAAAGCAAAACAAAACAAAAAATACAGGATAGAAAGTTGAAAGAGCTATTGAGTGGGGCAAAAAACCGACGCTTGGAACAAAGGTCCTAGTTGTTGGGGAAAAAGGCAAGAGGCCTATATATGAGGCCTGTGTGTGGTGTGTTTGTGTGTCGCATTTACTTGGGGGTGGAGGGGATGGGGGGGCGGGTTAGGTTGAGGAATGGCATCATCAGGTTAGAGACAGTTGCATGCAGATAGTTTTATTAAGGTTTATTTTCATTATGCAAAGAGATCAATACTAAGTGTGAATTTTGAAGTAAATTTCTTTTGAAACAGCCCTGCTCCATTTTCAGGCCCAGAAACATTAATGAATTAGTGTGGCTTTTACACATCATTGTGAGATTGTTTGGAGAGTTTTTATTTCATTTATTTTACGCTTAAGAGAGCATATTAACATTGTTGGAGTTTGTGGGCTTTGTCTACACCTGCTTTTCTATGAATGTGCCAGTATCCATAAGGATTTAAGAATTGCCATGTAATTAATGTAGAATATAAAGTTTTTAGAGAGTTTGAGGGATTTGTAAGTCTGCTGAGCTCACGGTTATTGTTTAGTTTGTGTCAGTGAACAGGCCTTTTGTTTCAGTTTTTCATTTCCTTTCTCTAAAAGTTTTAGAATTTGGCAGTTAGAGTTCCAGAAGCTGCTAAGCTAAAATAATTTTTTTTTTTAAATTAAGGGGATGCTAAGCCAGTATAAAATCCGTGTTTTCACCGAGCAAAGTAAATTTGAATATTTACCTTTCCATTCTAACTTTTAAGATTACTGTATTTATGTTATCTAGATAAGATTTTATGATCCTATTTAAGCACATCATTCCAGCAAAGAGGCAAACAATGGCTTGGGAATTCACACAGTGCCAGTTAGTAGCTGTGTGACCTTGAGCTATTCACTTAACCTATCTGGTCTCCAGTATTTTTTTTTTTTTTAAAGTATTTGTTGTTGTTGTTTTTTTTTTTTTTCCATTAAAGAGCTCCAGCATGAAAAGGGGGGAGGATCAGAAGGAGAAGTAGATTGCTCCGCAGAGCAGGGAGCCTCTATGCAGGGTTCCGTTCCAGGACCTCAGGATCAAGACCTGACACTTAACCGAAGGCTGACTGAGCCACCCAGGTGCCCCTGGTCTCCAGTTATTTTATTTGTGAAATAGGAATGGGTAACCACTGTTTTACCTCACTGGGTGATTTTTGAGACCCAGTGGATATAATGGTTGTGACAAACTACAAACTGCTAAATAAGTATAATACATTATCATTAGTTTTAGAAAATTATGTTAGCTATTTTGAGGTCACTGAAAACAGAGCTTCTCAGCAGTGGTAGTGATGGGGGGGGGTGACCTTGATGTGAGGTAGGTTGCAGATATGAAGTTACAGCAACTTATATTTTGAAACTATTAAATCAGTAGTGGAACTTGGGCCGAATTTCTGTTTTTTATTATTATTTTTTGCATCAGCATGGTAGATATTTTTTCACTATACCTCCTACTGAATAAATACGTTAATCACACTTAGAGATTTTCTTTACATTTTATTGTTGATGACATGTACCTGTTCTGGTCTGTGGCTCTTATGAAATTGACTTTCCACCATTAAGAGAAAATATTGCCAAATCTTGATCTGTTTTCTTTACAGGGTTTAGGGGGATTTTAAAAAAATTATTATTATTTTTTTCTTTTAAGTGGGTGGGTGAGGATCTTTCTGAGCAAATAGGATACACCAGTTGCCCCTTTATTTTTCCATTTGCTGAGGTAACTTCAGCAGACTCAAGTTGAAAAAGCAACCTGTTTGTTGCTTTTCCTCTTCACTCACATTCTTTCTACTGCCAGTAACATGCACTTTTCCTTTATTTAAACCATTTCGGTTCACTTCAACTGGCCCCTTCATATCACTTCCTCAAAAATTTATACCCCATGACCTTTACTTTTTATTTCTTGGTTATCTAAATAAGCTTCATTTTGGGATTAGAGTGCTAAATTTGTTGACATGTGTTGCTTTTGTTTCCTCGACTGGATTATAGGCTTCTTGAAGTCAAGGATTATTTTGTATCATCCCTGTGTTTTGCATGAAGGTACACACGTATGCCTAATTGAAAATAATACCCATTTTTCCTTCCCACTCCAAACCAGTAATGTTAGCCTAGTCTTGCTGACTATGCAACCAGTCTTCCCACTTGGAAAGTTTCTTAGCCTCAACAGATTCCTTAGGATGCTATTTGGTTTTGTGATCACAGCCTCTTGTATTTCTGACTGCTGTGCCATCGAGTGCCTGGAAAGGGTGAAAGAGTAAGAAAGAAGTTGATATTATACAATAAATAGAATCTGTAGATTGTTACATAATCCTGCTTGTAGTTCTTAACATGTAATGTTAGCCTTACATTTGTCTGTTTGCTTTTAGTGCATTTGTATAGTTCATACTGACTTCTTAAAGGCCTAAACCTCTAGCAGTTCTCTGTAATCGCTACCTGGTCTGCTGCGTGACTCGAACACACAGTAGGTGCTCATTGTTACAGTAAATAGATAAATATACTGATGCTGAACCAGTCTCTTGATTTTTTTTTTTTTTTTAAAGATTTTATTTATTTATTTGACAGAGAGAGAGATCACAAGCAGGCAGAGAGGCAGGCAGAGAGAGAGGAGGAAGCAGGCTCCCCGCTGAGCAGAGAGCCCGATGCGGGGCTCGATCCCAGGACCCTAAGATCATGACCTGAGCCGA